CCATCTAAAAAAGGGGGAAAGAGGGCAGTGCAGCCTGCGAACCGGATCTACGGCAAAGGCTTGGAGAGACAACTCATTTCAATTGATTGATGTTGTGAATCATCTTGAGTGCCGAAGATTGCATCTTCAAAATATTGTGAGGTAGAAGTTGCAGGAGTTGATCGTTTGGTAAAACTCGATGTGGGATTTGGTGCATCAGATTCGAATTTCCTGGCCTGGTCTTCAAACAGTGACCTAAAGTCTGAAACGTAGATGTCATACTCGGAAAAGAGCATTGCTCGTTCCTTTTTCAATTGATATGTTGATCAGTACAAAGTGAAAGCAGAATGAGTAGGAAGGTACTCACTTGGAAATAGTTCATCTTAAGACGAGGATCCAATATGGTGGCACAGATCGGCGCGGGTTTGGAGAGCACTTTCTTGAAATAATCTTCGAGTTTGGCAATCATACTTTTGGATGCAGGTTTTAATTGATCGAAGTCGTATCTTCCAGCAACCTATGTGTAAAGGCGAGAAAATTAGCCAACGGTGTTATGAATGCAAGTTTAAAACAAATGACTTACTGATTTGAGTCCTTGTAAAACTACTATATATATAGGGACTACTTGATGCATTGTTGGGAACTTTGATTTACAAAGGATCTCAGTGGCTTCACTGAGCGGTTCCAAAAATTCACACATCTGTTTGACATAATTCCATTCAATAGGTAAGAGAACGAATTTTTTGAAGTCTCGAGCCTTGCAAAACTCATCGCATGATTCTTTGAGTCGTAGAAGCCGTCTAAACATATGATAAGATGAGTTCCATCTTGTTGGAACGTCGACAACAAGTCGAGTGACTAAGTTAGAACTTTTTTTTGATCGAGGTGGCTGAACGTGGTCAATACTCGGATCTTGTAACATGTAGTCAACTGCCTCCCTTTCAGCATCATTGCCCACAGATTTGGTAGGATGTTCGGCACCGGTAGAGTTGGTGGTGGGAGGGTTAGGCGCAGCTGCAGATGCCATGGCCACGGCGAAGTCATGTCGCATCTTGACAATGTTAGCAAACGCTTGAGCACGTTGAGGGCTTGACCGGGTACACGTCACTAAACCATGACATCGATTATATATAGTCTTGAGATTAACTTGATTCACATCAGGTGGGTCGATAAGATCGTGTATGTTCGAGTGTGATGCAGCTTCTTGTTCATCAAAGACTTCCCCAAAAACCTTTAAACCTTCTTTAGCGGCGAGGTTGATGACCTGAGCTACACAACCATGTACCTGGGTGGTATGATCAAAGTCGATGCCTTCAGTCGTACCGATTAACCGTCCGATAGCGGCCTTTGTACTGATGTTGTCCGCGGTCATCGCACTCAACTTGTT